AGTAACCTCGTTATTTTCTGCCCTATTCTTTTACATTCTTGAACTATTTCTAACGTTCCATTAACATAGTGAACTAGATCAAGAAACGCCTGGAAATCGGAACACTAAGGATGTTATTTTGGGAGATTTCGTGAAAATAGCTATTCAGTGTATAAGAATCCTTGATCAGAGTCAAGCTCAAAGCTATTTCCAAAATAGTAAACGGGGGTGCTATAATTTGACATTTGGAGTTTGCGAAATCGTATTGGACACGTTGATAGTGCACCTGAATAAACCTTCACACCAGTGAAATGCGCCTTCCCCGCCTCTCCCGAGATAATTTTGCATCAGAGTTACAGGTTTAAAAGCGTCGTTCCTGTGGCGCTATTAATAACTCGACATTCTGAACTTTGAAACCGTTCTAGTTGTGCCTGAATACTGTATTATCAAAACTTATGTCATCATACCAGTTAAGTAATAAGTAATAAACAAAGTGAACTACTCCCAAGGAATCCAACCATAGTTTGTGTACTCATCATGCACCTGATCAGCATTAGAGAAATCATCGCTTTTGCTTTCCATATACTGCATACGTTGTATAGAGGAAGTATTGTAGTGTTGTGGCAAAACGACAGTTTTTTGGCAGAAAAAAATAGTTTTGTTTTCCGGATACTTAAAATGTGGATAATTCGTGTTTCTACATGCAGTAAATAACTTCCAACACCCGTCAGAATCCACGTTTTGCGCGACTTTGACAAAGGAAAAATTTGGTTTACGTCAAAACGTGTCTCCTTGACTATCTGTTGTCAACTATAGGGCCTGCACCGTTCAGACACTATTCTTCAAAATTAATATTCCCGGATAGATCTGGTCGAACTCGTGGCCCTCCGAATTTGAAAAGCATATTTTCATTGAGTATACTTTACACGGCGCCTCAGCGATAATTTCAACTGTTTCTAAAATATGACTCCGTTGGCCCCCCCCCCTTAGATAGAGCGGAGTACGCTTATACTGGTGCAGGTCCCGTTTTTGTTGGACACTGAATTTTCGAAACTTAAACATTCGAAAATTTTCTGATCGTCCTACAATTATAGTATTGAATATAGAGATCTTTACCACAATGAGACCTTTTCTTCAAAGGCAGATTTTTAAATAAAATCCTGCACATTTTCGAAATATGAGTAATTTTACGTGAAATTTAAGGACTTTTTAATCAATTATTTTGTGAAAAACGACTTCAAATTTTTGCATTATTTTTTCTAGAATATAACAAAAATACTTATAAATATGGTGCTAATAGGTCCATTTTCGGTGAACTATGTGTTTTCGAAAATTGAAAAAAAAATGAACATACCAAACCTTCAATATCGATTGTGTTTTTCTTCTCAATGGAATTTGTTATTAAAAGTTAGATTTTTCAGAAAAGTCTTGTACAAATTTTGAAAATCAGAGTAGTTCTCGTTTAATTTCTTGGAATTAATGCAATTTATAATAAATAATTCTAAAACACTTATACTGTTTTTTTCTTAATGATGTTTTTGGGATAGAGAAAATGACGCTTACAATCATTGCACATGTCTCATTTTCGTTAATCTTTGAAAATTACGAAAGTTACAAATAATGTGAGAACGTATGTGCTGTTCTAGTACCACGTGTATTCCATTCCATTTTATTGGAATAAGGATTACTAGTATCGAATAGGTAAGATACTTGATCTCCCTGGTATTTCCAATTCTTTACAATAGAGATGCAATAAACCCTGGTTCTCAAGCTTTCTCGATTAAATAGAAAGAACAATGATTGCCCTTCTTGAGGGTTATATCGCGTGATCTACCTCATTAACCCTTCTTGCCAAGTCGTTCAGAGCACTTTGCATTAATTTCCTGACTGGATTTGCTCCGAACTATCATGATAGTGCTATTAACAGAGACCATCATATACAAACCTAGTGTGCTGATATCAGTAAGCTAGTTTTCTAATACTAGATTAGCACAGCAAAGGGAAAATAAATCTACTCTTTTCCCCATGGGTTTCATTCTTTACCAACCTTCCAGATCTTGCCCAGCCATATTTATTCCCGCAAGTTGTCTCATTCACTACTATCTGGACTCAAACGATCTGTATATAGAAGTCACTTCGGTCAAGAGATCTTAGGACTTTAAAAGAGTCGTAAGTCGGATTTTGTTGCGATGTACGCCGCAAGAAGCGCCTAACAGTGCAATCTTATGACTTATAAATTGCTTTCAGATTTTTACTACCTTGAGTAATAGAATATAAATTGACATTGCTGAATTTATAGAGTTTGAAGGAAATAGGTCCGAGGATCAGAGTATCATACTTTCTATACTATTTGCAGCATCTTCGCTCGATAATTGAATAAAAAGTAATGAGTAGAGTCTCGAAGTTCAGACATTTATTATACCTAAAATAGGCAGGCAATACGGCGTTTATTTTACTAAAACAGACATGCAAAAGTCCCATATATTCTTGCTAAAGTAGGGGGTAAAAACACAAGAACATTTAAAAAAACACTATTTTAAAAGTAATTAGTGTAAAAATTAATAATTAAAATGAATCACCTTTTTATTCTATTTCTAAAATGTACATTACCACTCACTGGAAGGAAACTGCCTTTTCTTCGTAATCTTGATTGCACATGACAATCCGGTTTGACGTCTACGAATGTCTTTTACTCGCGACGCTGACTCTTTGAAATGCTATTGTGGACTACCTTTTGAATCTTGATATGATATCAGTGAAAACGGAATTGTAGATTTCAGTCTTCAGAGTTGTTCTCTCTTCCTTTCTGTCGTTTATACAAGAAACAGAGAATGGTATATAATGTACTGCTAGCTCTGTCTTCAAAAGGGATGAGAGGCCATACACAAACATAGGATGAAATGTCTCATGAGCGAACAAGTCAGTAAGCATCAATGAAAAATACCAAAAATCTCCACTCGTATCATCTTCCATTCCCTTTTTAGATTTTTAACACAACCTGACACTGGAGTCCCTGTGTTCACAGACAGACAATACACGACCGTGCCTTCATGTTGTCCAAGCTTGCAGGTATGCTTCCAGCTTGATAGAGATTAGTGACAGGAGGGAAGGGAAATTAATGACGAAAAATTCACAAATAAGGTATTGTATATAGGCAAATAGGGCGAATTGAAATTCTACTGGACTTGGTAACTAAACCTACTCCAGAAGTACAATTAAGTGTTTATTATTGCGAAATGTCTCCGAATCGTAACAATAATAAAAAGGCATTTTGCCTCACGGGCAGGTTCTAGTCGTGAGACCAATAGGTATGAGGGATTTCGCCGAGATCAGAGGAGTCTGTGGCTCGTCTGAATAATTGAGGCGGTATCTTCATGAAGGTTATTTACTGCAATCTCGTATTTGAGACGTTTGTATCTGATATTATATAATTAATGAACGGAACTTGTAGATTATTCTAAATTCATGTTCAATCACCTGATGAAATGCTTCAGTGGCTTAGTTGTATTTTGTTGTTGTAATTTCCCATCGACGATCATTACATGTTTAATGTATTAATGGACTTAGAAAGATCAGAAGACTTTGTTGCGGAAAGAGGGATCGCGTAACACTAGAATGAATGGAAAAGAGTGTTTCGTGACTTGGGAATCAGAAGCGAAATGTAGCGCATGGCTCTGCAGGGTATCCGTTAGCTTGCCTCGCGACAAAAGGCTCTCGTATGACTCGACAGAGCTCTCTTTCATGCGCCACATGTGTTTGTACGGCGGCGGTAGGGCGGCAGTAGCGCGTTGATGTTATCGGTGCGGGTGGCGCTTTACGTCATTGGCATCACCCCTCCCTGCCGCACCCCGCCGCGCCGCGCCGCGCAGCTCCTCGCAGCAGTTTCACCTGCGCTGGCGCCGGCGCCACGGGCTGCCACTCGTTCGAACGGGCGCGAAACGCACGTTCCACTCTGTTCCGCCTCCGCTCCGCCCCGCCCCCTCTGCCCTCAGCCCTGCACGGAAGCCATCGAGCGTTATCGGCAGTCACAACGCCCACCTGCCCGCGCGAGAGCGAGCGGGAGGGAGGCAGGGAGGGGGCGAGCGAGCAAGCGAGGGAGCGCGCGCGTGCGCGCCCGTCGACGGCAAAAGCGTCCCAGGGACTTCCGAGGCTTCTTTTTTGTGAAGCCACGTGAGGGAAGCCGGCGGCAAACAAGCGCGTCTCCGGGCGACCGCTCAGTGCGAGAGCGGCGTGCGCGACGTGCGCAGCCGAGGCGAGGCGTCGCGACGCGTCCGTCCGGCCGGTCGCGCGGTCGAAGGCGGTCGCGACTCGCGGTCAGCAAGCCGGAAACGGCGGAGGTGGGCGGTTGGGCGTCGAAGTCCGCAGCCGCCGCGGGGCTTCCCGGCAGCAGTCGCTGCGCGTGTGCGGAGCAGCGCGGGTAAGCCGAGCGTGTGTTGTGTGATTGAGGCCGGGCGATGCGAAGAGCGGCTGGTGACGGGTGATAGGCGGCGAGCGATGCGTGTCGGGTGATGCGGAGCGCGCTGCCCGTTCGCAAGCGGACGCACTCGCTGCTGGCGGGGGCGCTGATCCCGGGGCGCGCCGCCCTAAAGCGCCGCTGGCGCGGGGCGGGGCGCCAGGGGCGGACGAAGTGGGTGACGTTGACGGGACTGTGGCCCTGCGCGCGCGGCTCGGCGCGGGGTGGGCCCGGCGCGCGGCCTCGCCCGCGCCCGCCTCGCCCGCCCCCGCCCCGCGCTCACGGACGCCCCTTGCGCGGCGCCGCCCTGTGCAGACGAGGATGTGGAGACGACGTCGGGCGTCACCAGAGGCCTGGAGGAGGCGGCGCGGAGCAGCGCGTCGTCTTCTTCAACGCCCGCAGCCCCACAAGTTCTGCAACAACCACATCTCCACGGCCAAGTACAGCGTCATGTCCTTCCTGCCCAGCTTCCTCTTCGAGCAGTTTCGTCGCTACTCCAACATCTTCTTCCTCTTTCATAGCGGCTGTTGCAGGTGCGTATTAAAATGTTTTGTTTTGTTTTTTCCAGTATAGAATGTCGCGAGGTGCATGCTGCGGGCGACACTTTCCGGGTTGGTCTGTATGTTTCTCTTGCAGGTTGCTTTAAGTGTAAGAGACGCAATGAGGCGCGGTTAGGGCGGCAGTTGCAAATGCAGCAAACGGGATTATAAGTTTTCAAAATAATAATAATAATAATAATAATAATAATAATAATAATAATAATAATAATAATAAATTGTTTGCCTTGAAGTTATAAAAATGCGTACTTTATTTATATGTATATTTACCTCACTGTTTTGGCAGTAAATAAAACGACTTGTGAAACGCGTTGCGAGTTGTGTAGTGGGGCAGGCGATATGTCGTCTTTGTAATTATGTTGTGTTACACATACTGCTCCTATGTTTTAGATAGCCTTTTCTGATTCGAGGAACTCGCTCTTTACTTTGCAGGTCAATATCTCGTCGCAGAGATAGGTAGCTGTCCTCGATTGCTGCGGTACCTGTCACTCTGGGGTGCAATAACTCGTGTCGCATCTAAAATCTCATCATTCCCTTACTCTTGTGATTCGGGTACTGATATTACTCTGGCCTAATATATCGAATGTCTACTTACGATACTTTTAATGGTCTGAAAATTGGATTATAATACAACACCAAATTAGGTTGAACGCAAATTCGATACAACGCAAATTATATTGAAATACACACGCAAATTTCGACGTAATTCACTTTTTCAAATGAAAAAGATGACCCACTTTTTTTTTAAATAAAACTCTTGATTTTTCGAAGGGTGAGGACTACAGTTTTTAAACGTTTGCACGCGTATGTGTATAGAGGGATAATCTCACTCATATTTAATCACGAAATATAGTCATTAATTTAAGAAATTAATTAAATAGAGACTTTAAAAGATTTATTATGCGTGTCCTCGAATTCTTTAGTTTTCGTTTACCTTTGTGAAAAGTAAAAGGAATGTGGAAAGTTGCATTTCGATTTGTAAAAAGAATTTCGAAAGTTGCATTTCGATTTAAAGCTTGGATTTAATAGAAATGTCTCACGCAGTTACAACAAAGCCTTTTATTGCTACATTTACTTGGACAATGCCTAAAATTGCCTAACTCAAATGAATTAGCTAAATAATGTTCCGGTTCATGCAATTCTATTGTGTGTTCAGTATACACAAGATTAGAAGTTGTGAGATGAAGGCTGTAAATAAATGAGTTTCGTATTTAAATGGGTAATATAAATATAGAAGAAATAAAAATTATAAGCATTAAAGTTCCTTTTAGTCTGGATTTGCATGAGAATGCACGCTATGTCGTTAATCTGGGCACTTCATCAACATAATATACTCGTCGTGAATTATGAAATATTTTGTGGTGTAAGTTGATACAGATTTAGATGAGAATGAAGTGTGCGGCATTGTGATGTGTTATAAATAGACATGGAATATATATTCTATTAGATATTCTAATTTATGCTTCTAAAGGAGGCGAAAAGAGGCTTCTTAATTTCTTAAAAATGCAGTTTAAATTGACATAAAAATAAATACTTCACGCGGATATTTTCTTCAAACTGTTTTATTAAGGTCATTAGTATAAAATAAGAAAAGAAAACTTAGATACAAATTATAAAACAGCTCTCCTCTTTTTTCTCGAAATTTTAAACGGAAACAGTTCACTTTCTATTTCGACTTTTGTAATCTGTACAAATTATAGATCGCTGGTGAGGTAGATACCTTCTAATAATTAAATATAGTAAATGAAAGGTGTTGTCTAGTTTTAAAAATGTATTTTGCTAGTGATCGTTTCGAACGCGCAGCGATCATCCTCAGAGCTTGCAGCTTCCGGGCCGAAAATAAAGTTCTTCGGAACACTCCACAGAACTCTCCAAACAACCGCAGAACTTTGTTTTCGGCCCGAAAGCTGCAGGCTCTGAGGATGATCGCTACGCGATCGAAACGATCATTTGCGAAATACATTTTTAATACCAGACAACACTTTTAATTTACCATATTTAGATATTATTTTGTTGAAACAACACGCATCCACATGACGCCGCCCACGTTCTTAAAAATCTAAATTTCGAGCAGTCAGAGCATCTCAGATACAGAACCGGCGTTGTCACTTATAATTACGATTTCTTTGGTCCACTTCAAGACGCTTTATATGGCCGAAGGCTTGGCTCCGACCTTCAAGCGACCAGCGCGCGAGAAAATTTATTGCTTAATCTTAATTCCTGGATAATAGAAAGCTTGTGATATGATGGACCAAGTGCATAAGAAAATGTGGTGCCTACGTTAAAAAATGGTCTCATTGTAAATATTGTACAGTTGTCAAATTTGAACATTTAATGACTTACCCCCGTATATTGATACACCAGTCAATACCGAAAACCTCTATGTAAGCACAAGTAAGTTTTATGTTGATTACCCTTATGTTTTTCGTACATCAGTAACCAGTTTTGGTTCGGATTGGTCTAAAAATGAAGGCAGTATTCATCTACATGTGTGTGAGGTTTCTTTTTCCAATAAAAAAAATTATAAAAATCATGAACAGAAACAGAACACTCGGATGAACATTTAGGATTTCTGTGTTCAATTTGCAGCCACTACCTACTCTCCCAATATGAAAAAAATTTGCTGATTACCAAAATGAGTGCCATCCGTCACATTAAAGTTCATAAGTGTGATGAAAAATACTGCTACTCTTCTAATTTATTACTAACGAAACTTTTTTTTCTTATGTAGGTTTCAATTTCAGTTTCTTGTGCACAGTTTTATTACTATTCATTTCGTATTCAATAGAATTTGTATTGCCAATAAATAAATGCGAGATTTGAAAAAATGAATATCTTGGTTTAATTTGCTCACTCACAGTAAACTAGTGGTGCTAATACAACACGTACTTTCTCGCCCTATTTTCACGCAAAATTGCACGAAAAGTACTCAAATTTTCGAAAAATTGTATATTATCTTATTTCAAAATCTATTTTTAAGAAACAGATTACATTAAGAGAAAAATATCTCTATCTTTAATATTTTAGCTGTAGAAAGACTCCGAAAAAGTTTTGAATTTTTCCAATTTTCGAAAAACAGTGTTTTTAAGGAACATGAATTCTGCACCATTCTTTTAAACATTATTAACTCTATCCAACAATAAAGTTTAATAAAAAAATAGCCATTTTTTGAAAAGTTTGAAAATATGACATATGCTTTATGTAAAGAAGCCTTAAAGTTGAAGTATCGGTTTTAAATTCAAAAGGTCGCGACATCATCCAGATCGATTTGGGAATGCCAATTTTGGAGAAAATCGGCAGACCGGTTTAGCTTCGAGCGTTGTTCACGGACGGACGGACGTTTTTACTGTTATTCGATTTTTTGATGTGAATTGCACTCAAAACATGGATTCTGGCTACATCACCTGTTAAAAGGATTTTTCCCATGAAAGCAACTGAATTTATCCAATTTTTCGTTACCAGGGCCCAGTAGTTTTTCTGCCGAAAATTCGCAGTTTTTTTCGCGCAGCATTACATAACTTTCTCTCTCCTCCATAGCGAGAAAGTAAAACGGCACAGATGCTCAGAAGCTTCAAAAGTTTGGCAAACACTGCCTTAATTAACCTGTCAACAAGACTGATAATGAGGTTTTAGAAATCTGTACTACCGGAAAATATGAATTTGAAACTTACGGGGATTTGATTGAAAGTGGAAATGGTTTGTGAATCAGATTATGTCCTAAAGCTGACACTTGCACGTACCTTTTAGCAGAATTTTCACATCAGGTTGAAAAATAAAACAACTGTCTCTGTCACGTAGTTTTGATTTTGAAGTAAGGAAGACGGAATATTTAAGAAAATTTCGATATTTAAGAACAATTGCTGCTCTGGGAGTCTGTAAAATCTTATCATGCTTAGATTTTTACGCGACGGACAGCAGAGGTATGAGGGATGTGTTGCGAATATTTGAACTACGCAATGCGAATATAATGGGAATCGCGGAAGAAAGACAAACAAGCGCTATTTACCAGAAAAAAACACGATATTTTGCCCCCCGCCCCCCACCACCACCACTACCATTTTTGTACGGAACTCAACAAAAACCCACTGGCGCCAATTTCACGCCAACCTCTATTAGTGATAGATTTCGTATGATTAAAAACGACAGTGCTACAAACAAGGGTGGTAAGTTTTGGAGAAAATGCAAAATCATCGCAATAGGTGTACCGTCTCGTACTGTGGGTGAGGGGACCCAAGAGCGTTGCTATTGACACCACCTCCTGAAGCCGAGGCCAAATTTAGGCCATGATGGATGCATTTCTGATTGAGTGATCGCTTCATTACGGAAAACGACGAAAAATAATATAAATTACTCGTATTGTTTATTTCAGTTACTTTTATTAAACAGCATGTCGAGCATGTCTTGGTTGTCGCATATTTTCTGAAGTTTAATGTAATGATCTTGCTTGTTCTCCAGATGTGTGGTTGATAACTAGGAGTACGCAGTAATTTATGGTTGTGGATTGCATGTGAGAAAATATAGCACACAGTGAGAAAATAGATATAATGTGAGCAAAAGGAAACATTGCGCATTGTTACAGTCATTCCCAGAAATAATTTCTTATTCAGTGGGATCTGCTACGCGAATGACCTCTATAATAAATGACGTTGAAATGTCACTTTCTTCCCGTAATGAACCTGTTTTATTTAGGAACAGAGAAAAGTGCAAAAGAAACTCTGGCAACATACGTCAGAGGACAATGTTTTATACATAGTAATTAGACAGATCTATATCTCCCCGCATTTTTGCTCTGAGTGGAACAATCAATGTATCGATTGAACCGTGAGTGCAAGAGCCAGACATAACTTGTTTACTTAGGTGGAGAGGGGTGCTCTTCGTTCTCTATTCCGACCTTGTTACGCTTGGTTTATCATGCAGCTTGAAACTGCGCCGTAATTTGTCTCATCGATTTTCACATATTGAATGTTTATTCTTCAAAAATAATTCTCTTGAAATGTACGTACATTGTAGAAGAGACTGTCGATAAATAGTCAAGTTATTGCATATAGAATTAGCGGAACCCGGCAGACGTTGTCCTCCCCTCCATCTATCTTTGTCCTTCCCTCTCCCTTTCTCTCTCCGTCTCGCTTGCCATTCCTGCCTCCGACTCTCCGTCTCTCCTCGTCTCTCTCCCTCTCCGTCTGTCTCTCTTTGTCTCTCTGTATCACTCTGCGACTCTGTCTGTCTTTATCCCCCTCTGTCGTCTCTCTCTGCACCTGTCTTTCACGGGCGAAATTTCACAATCCCAGGGCCAGAATATGCGCTGAAGACGCTATTAATACTCGTACTTCAGGATGCGGCGGGTTGCGTAGAGCGCCCTATTCAGGGGCGGAGGCAGCATAAAATCATCATAAACGCGCGTCTGTGTGCGCAGGCATATGCACATCCCCATAGTCCTTTGCCTATATTCTTCCCACACGTTCAAGCAATAAGTTGACAAAGTTGTATCGTAATCAGATTAACGATACGGCAGCGCATTAAGTACGAACAAATATGTTTTTTTATGTATTAGATTATATAATTTTGAAGAAATTATTTATTGGCCAATTAATGCCAACCATGTGTCGAAAAGAAGGATGAATTCACTCGTATTAGATTAACTGGTAAAAATGTTAGCACCATTTGCAGTATGTTTAATTATTTCCTTAAAAAAACAGTTACAAGTTAGAGACATTTCTTGATAGAAAATCTACTCATACATATTGCTCAGAAGCAAAATAAAGGGACTGTCACAGTATTTGCTTTGAAGATCAAAGAATATGGACGAAAACAAAATTAATTGACTCCAAATTATACAATTGATACAATATATCAAAAACAATAGAAGGCTAGGAGTTTTAAAAGTTATATTTTGTGTGTGACATTACGTTGAAACAAAAGCGGGCTTAAATCAAATTAAAAGAATCATTTGGAGTTCGTAAAAACCTCACCTGACACCATTGTTCTTAGTTAATGGGAGAGAGAGGACCCAAGCAACTCGTACAGGGGAAGTGAAGTAGAGTTTAGTTTCAACAGTATAGAATTTATTGAAGTGTAACGAAGCGTTCGTCCCGAGAGTGGGTGGTGGAGGGACGGGTACCTCCGACATCCGAGCGAGGGGTGAAACCCTCACCTTCTAGTAGCCTCGGACCGCCGACGTCGGGAAGTGACTGCTGGGTCACCCACCAACGGCAGCGTGTTACGAGAGCCGGAATGCCATATCGCGACATTACATTCTGAAGAGAGAAAAAGTCGTTCCCGTATTTTTGCTGTGCTTTTTTATGCATAAATGCATTCCTTGAAGGAAAATTGATAATGAACAATATTCCCATAACATAAACATCATATCATTAATTATAGAACATATTTGAGGCTCATTTTCTATAATTATTAAGAGTTGAATAAATACGACGTACTTCCCCAAACTCAGATTTGACAATTCAATAGTCGTAGAGATATACATGTAAAATGCCGATTTTTATTTGAAATTTTCTTTCTGTATTGCAGCAAATCCCGGATGTGTCTCCGACTGGTCGCTGGACGACTCTCACGCCGCTCCTGATGATCCTTACCATCTCTGCTCTCAAGGAGATAGTTGAAGATGTCGTAAGTATCCTTAGACTCTACTAGCTGATTATCCAACCTCTTCTTTACCGCTCTACACGTCTCACCCGCTCACCCCGCCTGTCCCGCCCACTGCTTCCCTGCACCGCGACACACCTCACGCACTATCCTGCTGGCACCACCCCGCCCCGCCCCGCCCCCCTACCCGCATCGCCTCGCACCGCACTGCAAAATGGTGCCTAGATGCATTGTGTTTTGCATCGTTCCCTGTTACAACAATTTTGGGGTGTTGCCAAATTTAGGGTAACATTCTAAGATTGTCAACGAACTTGTGTTTTATCTGTGCATCTTGAAAGTGTAGATTAATAATTTGGATGCAATCCTTCTACTGGTTCTTAAGCTTGTATGGAACTCACACACGCATACATACATACATACATACATACATACATGCATGCATACATACATGCATACATACTCATACATGCATACATGCATACATACTCATACATGCATACATACTCATACATGCATACATACTCATACATGCATACATGCATACATACTCATACATGCATACATGCACATCCATTTTTGAAGATATAGAATGTGAAACTCCTGTCCACGAGAAGCCATTAGTGTGTATGATTTCCACCTTTTTTCATGACGTCATCCGTGGAAATGGTTATTTTTAGCCTTCACGTCAGCAATTGAAACGTTATGTCTCGCCTGTCTTAACAGTTTTAAGGGCTACCTGGTGTCTGTAAATAAACGACAGCGCGAGTTAAATAGCTCGCAGGGTTGTTTAGATTTGAAATGTTTTCCTTCATAAATGTTTGGAATGTATTGTAAATAGACGACAGATGCATTGTAAAATGTTTCCCCGTACCAAGCAAGTTATAGTTCTGACTCAGTTTAAATTTTATTATCAGATTCTTAAAAGAGAATAATTTACTCATAAAGCATGCTAAGATTTCATGTAAAATTCAGTCCAAAACTCCGAAGTATCAAATCATTATTTTTGTACCGTCACGTGCAGTTGATTGAAACTATTATGAAAAGAATGCCAGTGAATCATTCGCATTAGCGCAACTTTGCGAAGATATCGTGATTTTTGTTTGTTATTCCTGCGGTAAAATACTTCCTTCAATGAATTTAAAATGTTTAGCTATGTACTTAAAGTGGTGTTTATATACCTGTGGTGCTTGCAATCATGAGGCTGTTAAAGAAAGAAATTATTTTTAAAGTATGTAAGGTTTTTAATATATTAGACGGAGCTAATGGGTAGATTTCAAGATGGAAAGCAATTTTATTGGAATACGCAAAAGATATAAAGGTGTGTCATATAAGTGTTAGAGACAAATGTTGCAAGTTGTACATGAAGTCCTTTGTTGGTAAATGTCTTACTTTTTTATTCCGATGCTTTCTTTTTATTAGGGAAGCTCAGAGGTGGAAGACGTTATTCTGCCAGTTTTAACCATTTATTGAAGATGTTGTTCTTTATCATTAGTCTGTAGTACATTAAAACTGTACTCAATTAAAATTGTAAAAATGAATTGTAATTTTCATTATATGAAAAACTTTAAACGTGACATTTAGAAATGGCTACAACTGACTTAATAATTTCTTCCACTACCTGATTGTCCCTAATTAAAACATAACATCAGAATAAATATGTCAAATTGGACAATCACACAGTAGCATCAATGTCTTGTTTTGTTTGCAAACAGGATTTTAAAACTGTGTGCAATGTTTACCATATCCTGTTTTGTATTAAAAGGATAGTATTACTTATTTTACAAACATTGTTTATTATACTTGCTTGTCTTTCTACATATTACTGCTGAATATCGGTATTTCGAAAATTTGTTATTTCGCACATTAGCTAGAGAAATATGTTATCATTAAAATTCATGGAAAATTGTGAATTGCACAAGGTTGTTTTATATAAATAAAATTCTTTCACCCGTTCCAATGACTTGGGCAATACTGCGGGTACGATAATATTAGCGTAAGATCCCAAACGGGCTGTAGTCGTGGGAAAGGAACGCAATATTGTATATAAAGCGGGTAGCACCTTATAATAACCTCGGTGCGTACACATCCAGTCTACCTCAAACGACCACACTCGGAAAGTACACATGAGCTCCCATTCGCGTACTTTGTTGCTCTGCCCATCGCAAACTGTACCTGTCATCAGTGTTTGCCGTTTGCTTCGAGGCGAGCCAGTGACGGTTTTTGGTATATTTAGGAGCTCAAAAATTAAGTATGATATGCATAAACACAAGTCCTTGAGCATTGATATCATTTATTAAAAAGAAATATATATAAATATATATATATATATATATATATATATATATAAAATATTCAGATTCATTTGCTCTGGTAAATCTACTAAACAATATTCCTACATAAGGTAATTGGGAAACCTGCATTTGTCCGTCCGTCACTCTCGGTTAGACCCCTCCCGAATCACCAATCGATGCTAATGGTATGTTATTCTGCGCGACTCGGTCTCCTAGAGCATTTGGAATCGTGTTTTCAACTCTTCTTCTCTTCTGTCGCGCTACGGTCCTTTATGTTTAGCCTTGGCGTCTCGAACGATCAATGCCCAATCACTTCTCCCTTTTGCTTTTCTTCTCCACCCCCTTACTCCCATTGATATCAAATCCATTTCAACATCATATACCGATATTAAACCGGGTCTTTCTTTCTTCTCCCTTCGGGTTCTTTACAGAAGATAATTTTGGGGATTCTTTCTTCTTTTATTCGTAATAGATGTCCGAGCCATTGTGACTCGCCATACTGACCTTAATTTCTGCGACAATGTCTGTTGTTTTATACATATTGGACAGTTCTAAATGACTCTTTATTCTTCAATGTCTATTTTCGTATTTGGGGCCAAAAATGCATCTTAAAATTTTCCTTTCCCAGGACATCAGAACACATTCAGCTCATTCAGCACATTTTCAACTCACGTTTACAAAAAAGTACTTCTACAAAATAATTTAAAACTCATTTCTTTAGAAAGAACACTTTGAAGTCTCTAGAATAACGACGGAGAATTGGTAAGAGGAGATTGGAATTAAACATTCAAAAACAATGTATTCTTGATATATTACGAGACACGTTTCACTTTCTTACTAAAATCTTAAGGCAGTTTTTCAATGTTTAAACGTTTTTAACATTTTTACTTTCTCGAATACTTACATATATACGGATTGCTATACGTAGTTCAGGGAAAGTTATGTAATGCTGCAGAAAATCGATTTCGAGATTTCAATCAAAATACATGTTTTGGGATCCCCCACAACGAAAAAGTGATGTTGTTTTCAAAACGAAAAACTATACGTAGGTAAAGCCCTGTCCATCTAGCTCAAGTCGAAGCTTTGAAAGATATATATATATTAAAATTTGGGGATTCTTTACATGAAACCCCTCGGTTTTCTCGAAACCGTTCCAAACGTTTTCTTTAAACTTCTTAAAAGAATAGAGTCAAATACGTTACAAAAATGGCAGATGTCCAATTTTCAACTTTAACTCTGAATTTTCGAAAATAACAAAATTTTTCGGGCGTCATCCTACAACTACAATATTATCGATAGAGATTTTTCCTTCAAGTGAAATTTGATTCCCATAGCGAGTTCTTTCATTAAGGTCATACACATTTTTTTGAAAATTTTAGTAATTTTTGCGCAATATTACGAGTAGTGTGAGCAATTTTAAGTAATAACAGAAACTTCTAGCAGAGAGAGTGCTAAATGTACTATAAGATGACAAAAACGCCATATTGCTCTATTCTTTTCTTGTTGTTTTTTCAAAATTACAATTATGTATTTTTTTTTACTTGCCCCTCACGTCATTAATATTAATATTAGCGGCAATTTGCTCACATTATTGTATTAATGAGTACATGTGCTTTACATAATGTCATATAAAGTTTGTCAAAAACAACCGTTTTCTGTGAAAACTATCTCAAAACTCCTCATTTTCAGAAACGTTCAAATGTCATTTTCTCAAAAACAGCTCCCAATTTTTCTTCAAACTTTTCGAACAAATAGTGCAGATTCACTCTTTAATACGACGTAAAATTCATTTTAGAATTTTGTTTTCAAAAATTACACAAATGCAATATTTTTAAAAGCTCTCTCACGCCGTTAATGTGCACATTTCCAGCAATTTTTAAAATCTATTTTATTTGTGATTTAAAGTATTTAATATGATTTCAAATGAAGTTTTTCCAAAACTCAAAACGTTTCTGCGAAAAGGAGCCTTAAATTTAGAATTTACATTAAAGCTTAAACGCCATTTTCTTAAAAACGGGTCTTAATTTTTAAACGAAATTGCAATTTAGGACGAGATTGTACTGTTCTTTAGTGTGCATATATTAATGTTGCCGTTCCATTATTAAAAAAACTGAAAAATTAAGAAAATGTAAAAAAATGTACTTGGGGCGGGTTAGATGGCAACTGGCAAGAGTATGTGGCAATTACGAACGTCGTGACCAAAGGAAATACAAAACTAATATGGAAAAGTCTGTGCCATTCTGTGGCTCCAATAGTTTCGTTGTATTTGCTCCTATATACAGTGCGATAAAACTGACAATCAATGGATAGAGCGGAAAAAGTTAAACAAGTAAACTGACGAACTCCATTTGGAAATAACGATGTTCTGAAAAGTTATTGAAAGAAAACTACGAAAATTTCGATTTTGATTTCCTCTCTTTTTTCCTTGTTTGAGTTCATCACTTCCTTTGATGTAGGTGAATGTAATTATCACTTTCAGAACAGTAGTAGTCTGTTGTGATAATTATTAATGGGATCTAACTTGATCTAGTATTGTTTGTGCGGTGGATGTATATGTTTTTAGAGATGCGGCATTGTAATTATATTTGAATGATTAATGTCGTCCCTTTGTTTCTTCATAAAAGATGATTTGTTGAAGCGATTTTGGAGTCGAGGCGAAGAGTATAATGCAAGATTCATTCTTTGATATTTTTTCTAGTTTATTTTTAATAACTAAAAGACTTAAATTTATCG